TGACCCTCAGAGTGAGATGAACACTACATATGCTCCCAGCCCTGTACCGTTCTGTTAAGTATCATATTGTTGGTTATTCAGAACCTGTTGAAAATATTTGTTGTAAATGTTCTGAATTTGATACCTGATGATCTTGCCTAATTCCCTAGCATTTTGTTCTTTCTTCATTTAGGTTTGATAGAAAATAGCCTTGTTTGACCCTTCCCTGAGAGTAGTTTATTAGGACATGTAAGAAGATACGTGATGTTCCATGACACAACTTGAACTTGGGGTCCAAACCTGCATAAAATTTAGGGATGAGGAAGAAAAACTGGGTTGGGCCAGATGAGAAAATTCATGGGATTAGGTTGCATGGACATAAAATTGTGAGTGAAATATTCTTTGTAAGGCTTTTGTGTGTCCTGAGTCATATTATCAGGATGATTCCCTTAATGGAGGGAAAAAACATTATGCAAAAATGCATCTTAAAAAGCACATAACTTTGGTAGGAATTACATTCATTACAGACTAATTCAGCAGAGTTCCTTTAAAAACCATCTTCCTTACTGCATTTAAGGGTGTTATTTACAGATGATTAGCTATTTGACTAGGAAGAGGGGCAATTTAAGCCAAAAACATCCAAGGCCAGTTAAAAATCTGTCAAGAGCCGGGCTCGGTGGCTCAGCTTGTAATCCCGCGCCTTTGGGAGGCTGAGGTGAGAGGATTGCCTGAGCCCCCGGGTTTGAGACCCGCCTGGGCAGGCGAGACCTCATCTCTACAATAAATCAAAAATTAGCCGGGTGTGGTAGCGCGTGCCTGTAATTCTGGCTACTCGGAAGGCTGAGGCGGAAGGATCGCCGGAGCCCAGCAGGTCAAGGCTGCGGTGGCCGGTAGCTGCCACCGCCCTCCAGGTTGGGCGACAGAGTGAGACTCCAACTCAAAAAAAAAATCTGTCAAGAAAAAAATGCAAAAAAGAAAAATGGAACACCAAAGTTATCTTGGAAGTTAGTAGACATACAGGATCTAATATATAAAAGTATAATTTGCACACACTTTTCTGCAGAAGCACAACTGTTAGATAAAAACGAGAAATACATGCATTTTCAAGTTAAAGAAACAAGTACATCCTAAAAGATTGCTGAGAAGCATGGGAGCCTCTGCTTTGAAGACAATGGTTGTATGCTCAGAGAGAAAGAGACTGCACCCATCAAACCTCAAAGGCAAGATGTGTATGTGGTATGTGTATGTGTATGTAGACCCTGTGTACATGAGACCTGGAGGGAAGGGAGGAATCCGCAAAAATGACACATGCCTACAATGTGCAAAAATGACCCTTTACATGCTGGTTGAATTGTTGAAAAAAATGGGGTATGGCTTCATACCAGATTATTCATTCTAATCTGGAAGAGAAAAACTTAAGTGAATGTTTCAAAGAAGCCAGCTAACTGCAAATAGCGTGGACCAAAAAGTCATCAATAAGAAAGGACACCGCAGCAATGTATCTTAGGGTTGTGCAGACAACCTTTATATTTGCACCACTGCACAGAATGAAGATGGACATAATCGAAGGACCCTCTGGCTACACAAATGGAGAAGGAGTGGGTTCAGAGTTGGTCACCATTACAATGCTAACTGAGCGTGCCCATCTGAATACTTTTGCTTAAGGACGCACAAGTGAAGATTCTTCTTGTAAGAAACTGAGCCGGGTGCAGTGGCTTATGCCTGTAATCCCAGCACTTTGGGATGCAGCTGAGAGAGGATTGCCTGAGCCTGCCAAAGGGTTCAAGACTAGCTTGGGCAACTTGGCAACACCTCATTTCTGCAGTAACTCAAAAAATTGGTTGAGCATGGTGGTACACACCTCTAGTGCCAGCTAGCTACTTAGAAGGCTGAGGTGGAAAGAGCACCTGAGCCCAGCAGGCTAAGGGTGCGGTGACTGTGAGAGTGCCACTGCACTTCGGCCTGGGTGATAAAGACTTCGAGTCAAAAAAAAAAAAAAAAACCCAAAACCAACAACAACAACAAAGATTTTGTTTCTGTTTTGCTTTTTATGGAGCAGTAATATTAGCTATTGTTTTCTTTACAACTGCAATATTAAAGGATGCTTTATTTTGTTTAATATTTTTGGAAAAGTTACCACAAACTTAAGTTCTCAAAAAGCAGAGAGCAGATTAAAATATAACATAATTACACAACAGAATATTATGAAGCCATTAACATATTTTCATAAAGAGCACATGGCATGATAATAAATGAAAATAATAAGATGAAAAATGTGTAAGTAACATGACTGATGATGTAATTTAAAAATGAAGGATGCTGGACACACATTATACAGTTTCCATAATTATTATAAATTTTTACTTTAAACTTAGAAAAAAGTATAATTATATGCTGTGAAGTAATACTGCTACTTTGTATTTTAATAACAAAATGAACAATTTAAATTAGAGAGATCAGTACACTTTTTCTGCAAAACCCCAGCTTGTTACTATTTTAAGCTTTGTAAGTCACCTATGTCTCTGTCATATATTCTTTCCTTTTGTTTTGCTTTTACAATCCTCGGAATATCTAAAAGTCATTCTTAGTTCATAAACTTTATAAAAAAACATCATGGGCTGGGTTTGGCGACCCTGCTTTAGATGATTTCATTTCTTGTGTATGCTTTATCTATTTTATATGGAGAATTTGTTTAATATTTTCTATGTTTGATATGTAAGACACATGCTTTCCCCAAGTCACATTCGAATAGTTATACTGATTCCAATGAGCACTTTTTCAAAGTTAATTTGTTTTGTTCACTTCTGTAAAGAAAACTGAAATACATATATGTCATATGGTCAGATAAAGCCATACAGTCCAATATGGGAACGATTAGCCTCATGTAGCTAATTATGTAACAAAATAAAATAAAATCAGCACCTCAGTGCCATCAGCACTGCGCTGGAAAGCGCAGATAAGGGCGATTTCATTCCAGGCAGTTCTATAGGACAACAATGTTAGAGGAAAGAAAAGCAAAACAACACTCTGGGACTCAGCCCTATGGTGAGTTTCGGTCCTACAACTCTCCTTCAGAAGATAATATTGACAGAGAAGAAAGGAGAGCAGGCAAATGGAACAGTGATGGGGTTTAGAGTAAAATGGACCCAGAATGGCAGCTGAAGGTTGAATAACTTCCCCAGGTTCAAAAAACAAATCCACTTATATACTGGCCGTGTGATCTTGGGTAAATTAATCCACTTCTCAGTGCCCTCCACTTTCTCAGCTGTAAAGCAAACATTATCATACCTACCTGGTGCAGGTTTTGAGAGAAACAAACAAGGCTGAACATGTGAAAATGTTCAGTAGCATTACAGTTTTAGGAGATACGTGCACACACATTTACATTGGCCCTCGTGGGACAGTGTCCATAAATTCAGAAAGAAATGCTTCTTGCAGGTATGGTTAGATGCTGGGGGCACAAAAAATATCTTGCATTCAACTAATGCCAAAACTGCTGTTGGGGATTATATGTGGTTGGGAGAAACAGATGGCTGTCCCAACCTCCTGAAGACTTCAGTAACCCTCAGATTTGTCATATCATTATAATTTTGGTTCCCTATAACGGCTGATAGCTTTTGCCCCCAAACTGAGGAGTCTGTTTTGCCTCAGCCTCACACTTTGGGAAAGGAGATGCTTGATTCTGTCAGAACAGTGAGGATTCTCCTCTGTCTCTTACCCTTTGATAACCACGGGTCTCCCCTCTCTTCTCCAGGCAAGTCTCAGAAGCACCCCCCACCTTCCCCACCCCAAAAGGATGCCCAGACTCACTTTTGAGCACAGACTCTAATAAGGACTCTCTGGAAACTTCACAGGATTTACACACATTGTATGAAATCCATGACAAAGTCTAAGCTGCGGCTGGGAGACTCTTGGAGGAGGGGAAACCATGTGGGAGAACATGAGGGAATCAATTGGAGCTTTAATTTTTTCCATCTGCTCTGGAAATTGAGGTGGGAGTGGGGCAACCTCCACGCTGGAGCTTCTGTCTTAGGCAGAGGAATCTGTGGTTCTTCCATGTCAACCTTGTGATCTGCTTTCCATGCTTATTTCTGGTCTCCTCCCTCCAGCACTTGACAGCTATACTTATGCATGTTAAAGGGCCCCAACAATTTTTTATTGTTGATCTCCCCAACTTGGTTAAGTAGGGAAGAACCACAGTTTTCTCTCTCCTCCATGTCCTTATGGGAATCACACAACAGAAGATTAGACCAGCCTTGTAAACAAGTCACTGGCTTCAGGCTAGTAATATTTTTCATAGTGACAATTATGCACAAGAGTCTGATCAAGTATCTTTAGCTAGGCTAGGATGCTTTCTGGATGGTCTGTTTATATTATTTATATTCTTCTTCTTCTTTTATGATTATTATTGTTATTTTATAGGCAGAGCCTCGCTCTTTCACTCAGGCTGGAGTGCAGTGGCATGATCATAGCTCACTGCAGCCTGAAGCTCCTGGGCTCAATCCCACCTCGGGTTTCCAAGTAGCTGGGACTATAAGTCATGATACCACATCCAGCTAATTTTCTGTAGAGATGGGATCTCACTATGTGGTCCAGGCTGGTCTTGAACACCTGTCTTCAAGTGATCCTCCCACCTTGGTCTGCCAAACACGTTATTTTCATATCAATTTACAAAGCTATGATAGAAGGCAGGCGAGGAGCTGCAGCTTCCCACCCTCCCATCCCTCCTCCCTACCCCATGCTCATGTCCCATCCGTTGGACCCAAACCTGACAGAGCTAACAAAGAATGGCTAGGAAACCTGGGAAGTGGGAGTTTGGATGAGGATGATCATGAGCAGAGGGATTCAGATGCTAGGCAGCAGGGAAACACAGACATGCTTAGGAAAGTCGACTTCACCTCGTAGGGAGCCACAAGAGAGGGCGGGGCAGAGGGAGGGGAAGAGAACTTACATGGCAGGGAAGGTGACTGGACTCAGAATTATGTCACAAAACAAAAAGAGAGCCACAACAGCGGGCTTACTTGCGGAAGTATATACAAGTGAACTGGGGGCACTGTACATGGAAGATCCCTCCTGGTTGGCCTGGCACAACAGGACCGTGCCTACGAAAGAGAGAGAGAGAGGGTATCTGGTTTGGGAACAGGCACACTACACCTGAGAGATCACGGCAACGCAAACGCGAGAGGCAGGGAAACGAAAACAGCCACATCCCAGAGTGCATGATGGAGACGCCCGAGGGAGCCCCCTGCCTTAGCCAAAGGGAATCAGTGGAAGTCCATCCCCCAGCCCACCAAGCACATGCCATGACTTTTCACGTGGATTGAATAATGGGGTCTGGCTGCCCCGGGACCCTATTTCAGATCAGAAATACAAGCACCAGGGCATCCCGAAAAAGGAACTTTAGAAATATCAGAGAGAACTAAAGAGTAAGCCTGGCCCAAACACAACTTTGCTGTGTGATCTTGGTAAGTCACTGTACCTCTCTGTGCCTCAGCATTCCCATCTGGAAAACAGGGCAAATATACCTACCTCCAAGAAGGGTTGTGAATTGTGTGACTGGAAATGCACCCAAGGCAGAGGCTGGCATGTAATAATTACTCGATAAATGGTAAGCATGTGCATTGATAGGTTTAGAGAAAATTTTTTTCTTCCCCCAAACTTTAATCTTTCTGAATCAGTCCTTCAGAGGAGGAAGAAAAACAAGGCAGGGGAAAAATAAACGCAATTTTTGCTAACCCTAGGATCTATCCTGGACCCACATTGGACACTGGATGAGACAACTGTTGGCTTCTGCATTTCTGATTTCTTCCCCAAACCTCTCTGCTTTCCAGCTGGAAAGGCTGTGTAACTAGCCCTGCAGGCCGCGGCTGCATTGCAGCAGTGTCTTGCCTCCTCCTGATTTAAAGTGAAGGGCACTGGGTTTATCCTTGCAAAATGGAATTTTACAGCTGCGAATAACAGTGGAATTCTGAGATACCTCCTCCATCTATGACAGGTTCTGAACAACCACCCACTCCAGGAATGACCGGGGTCAGGAATCTTCAGGGTATCAATTCTACTCTCCTGCTGCTGCAACGTTCAAACTCAAAGACTTTGAAAAGAATTAGAGAGACTTTTGAAGAGTTTTAAGCCCATTACTGGTGATGGAAATGCCTTCCTGGGGTTTCTGGTCACTTCTCTGGCTGGGTTAGGTCAACCACCCACATTTGTTTTTATATTCCCCTGTCATGACCACCACTGGAAAGCAATCTCCCATGAAAAAAAAGTCTACCTAACAATGGCACCCCCGGGAGCAGGGAACATTCCTATATCCTTGGAGACTTGCCCTAGGGAATGGTTCTATATTCTTTTGTATCTTTCCCAAGATCAACAAAAGTGTATGAAAACTTCCAAAGTGAGTGGGGTTCCATCAAAGAGAGGGAGTGCAGTGTGATGTTATTAAGAGACAATAAACCAGACACAGTTCTTAAGAGTATTCCTTCCTGATCTGTACTCCACCATTCGTCAGGTACTGAGTCAATACAGATCACCTGAGGATCACATTAGGAGGTCTGAGAAGCCCACCCCACATTCCACTTACACCCTCTGTTCCCTGTGCCCCTCTGTATTATATACCTTATTTCCAGGTAAAACAAAGATTTTATTAAAATTTCTAACCTTGGGGACCAAAGGGAGGCCCAAACTTTACCTGTATGATGTCCACTTGTATACCTAATCCTGAATTTTACCACACATCTTTAAAATAAAATATAAAAAAATTAAATTAACCCCCCCCCAAACAAACAAAAAAACCAAACAACCAAAAAAAAAAAAAAGAATTTCTTACCCATCTAACCCTTTCCTATCACCAAGTCTGACAACTCTATCCAGTCTTTCACAGGGAGAAGGAGCCCATGGACAAACGTTCTACCTGCAGGAATGTCCCCTGGTCCTTTTAACGCCTACTCTGGCATCCCACGCTTAAAGCTGAGAGGAGCCACCATCATGCCCCTCAAATATCCCTGGACACAAGGTTGAAATTAACTGATCTTCTCTTGGTAACAAAGATATTAAGAGTCTGAATGGGCCTCAGTCACATTTTTGCTAAAATGATAGTTCTTTCTACTTCATTTGAAATCAACAGTTCATCACAACAGATAAGATGATCCTTCACATAGCCTAGTTTATCCTTAGTGGATATTTCCAGTTTTAGCAGGTAATTGGCATAGTAATGGGGCTTAATAGCAAGCAAACTAAACTCCAGATGATGATGGAGGTGGGTGTCTAAAATTAACCCCCAGGAAGTAAGCTATCCACCAGGAAAGACATTCAGCTCCCTACAATAGGTGCTCTTTATCAATAAGTACTCACATGTGACTCTGCAGAGAGCATCTGTTTGATTTTGCTCATTGCTAGAAATCTTCAAAAGAAATTAATGTTTCTATAGGATGTACAGAGAACTGTTAATCAGAATCTTCTTAGGTGGGACCTTGGCAGGTAGATTTTGAGAAAATTCCTCCACCGTTCTCTCCTATATAGCCCTGGTTAAAAACCACTCTTTGCTATGACTCTAAAACTTTCTGAAAAAAAAATAGTCCATTAAAAATAGAAAAAAAAGACTGGGATCAGTGGTTCAGCCTGTAATCCCAGCACTTTGGGAGGCCGAGGTGAGTAGGTTGCCTGAGCCCACGAATTCAAGACCAGCCCGGGCAAATTGGCAAGATCTCATCTCTACAGTAAATAAATAAATACCCAGGCATGGTAGTGTGCACCTGTAGTTCCGGCTTCTTGAAAGGCTGAGGGGGAAGGATCGGCAGAGCCCAGCAGGTCGATGCTGGGGTGGCCGTGAGTGTGCCACTGCACCCCAGCCTGGGCGATAGAGTGAGACTCCAAACTCAAAAGAAAGAAAGAAAAGGAAAAGAAAAAAATCCAAAATTGGGGTGCCTATGTTTCAAAAGAAAAATATTTAACAGTATCAAAAACACATCCAGAGAGACATTTCAGTGTTATGATTTTAACCATACAATTTTCACTATTCTCAATATAATTTATAGAATTCCTTTGGGACACAACAGAGATTCTGTCCAGAAAGATAAACCCTAGCAGGGCATAACAAAGCTTTCCTAATTTTTCTTATGCTGTGGATCCTGAGAAACTGAAATAACTTCTTTGGATGCTTTCTTAGTGGAGAAGAAAAAAAAACTTTATGCAATGATTTTGACCTTTGTAAAACAAAATCTATGCCTTCACAGGACTCAGTTTTTAGAAACATCCTCCAATTAATTTGCAAAGTACTTAGTGTGTTCCTTTATGACTTTGTGACCTTTTCTTAAAAGGAAGCTTTGAATTCAACAAAAACAAAGCAGCAGAGAACACTCTAACCTCCATGCATTTTTTTTTTTTTGACGGGTATAGGGACGAGTAATGTGTGTTTGTTTTAAAAGCAAGATCATAGAGTACCAACAGCAATACGAAGAGTACTTACAAGGTCATTCAAAGCACTTCCCAGTATAGCAACAACATAGCATTTCAACAAGTCCTCTGAATTGAATTTTCTGTCCCCAGCCCCCAACATAAACTGAATACCTCCAATTGCCATGAACTGACACCTGCATGACATGGTGACATCCTATACTTCTTAGACTTTTGTGCTTTCTCTTATGAAACTCCTTATAATTTAAGGATGGCAACTAGATTCAATTTATACCACTACCTACCCATTCCTTAGCCAGGGCAGAGATTATTAATCAATTGCAATATTGTCCTTTGCCATTGGCCTAGAATCCTCAGAATTACTCCCAATGGGCAATTACAACCATTTGATTAGACTTGGTGAAGGGAATGAGACCTTCATGGCATTCCTGCTCTTCATGTTAAACTATACGAAATAGTTTAAAAGTGACTGCCTTTATCCCCAGCCCCCAGGAGTGAATTAACTACTCCCTCTTGTAGGCTCTTATCATACATTTAAAAAAAAATCTCCCTGGTAGGTCCTTTGTCATGCTGTATTACAATTTCCTATTTACATATTTGTCTTCTGAGTTATACAATCCCCCTGCGGCAGAGCCAAATCATACTCATCTTTTTATTTCTAGCACCTAGCAAAATACCTGGTCCTCAGAGGGATTAATGAATATGATTGAATTATAATGCATCTTTTTTTTTTTTTTTTAACTCTCCATTTCTATTTTCTTTACTAAAAATAGTGCTTTTCCCTACCAACCCCTTCTGGAGGAGGCCTTCTTGTGCCTGTTGTTTATAGCTGGAAATCTACAGGCCTAAAGTTCAAATATATTTACAAACTACAGCGGAGATATTCACTTGTTTTCTCTTCTTTCCTTGTTCTTTTAGGGTTGACTCATCCAGTTTAACGTGAAACCTGGGCAGCCTAGAGCTCCATTTCCTGAACTGTTGATGACTATATCAGCACCTGGCAGAGACCGGGCTCCATGTGACAGAACGCAATCTTGGAATAATCAGAGCCTTTTCCAAAGCTGCCACAGTCACTTGCTCAGAGTGTCAGGATCATCAACATTCCAAATCCTGGCAAGATGTCCACACAGCCGCTCTCCAGCAGGATTTGGAATCCTCCAGCTGGGAAGGGGTGAGCCAGGGTCAATGTCTGGGGTGAGCCAGGGTCAATATCTAGGGTGTCAAAACCTTTTCTGCTCAAGTGGAGACTCCACCCAGTGTAGAAGACCATTCCTGACCCCTGAACAGGCAAGGTAAAGCCCATGAAGGATGTTTTCTATCACAGACTTCCTGTAGAAGTGTCTAAACTTTTTACTATGCTGCCAACCCTTAGGTGAGGAAATTGGATTCAAACAAACTAGAAGGACAGCGCAGTTTCACACCTCTATGCCTTTGCACAGGCTGTGTCTTTTCCCTTACCCTGGATGGCTTTATTCCAGACTCAGGTCTGGCTTCTCCTTCTCCTAGACACCAGACCTATGTACCTCTACCAGATGGGCTGGGTTCAACTTCCCTTCTCTGCTTTTCTAGATTGCTGTAAATAATTTATGTAATGTGTGCCTTCCCCTATTGATGCTACTAATTCCAAGAGGCCAGGAATCATGTCTTCCTCATCTTCCTATCCCTGTGGGTGCAGGAACTTAGGTTAAGA